TATTCTATTGTTCTCACGTTTCGTCTATGGTTTAAAACACATTATCGTGCAAAAGATTATCGTACAGATATGCGTGCTAATTTTAAAAATATTGCCATACCCGGAACAGGAATACCATTGAGTGTCTTTGTTTGGAATAAACTTGTATTTTCATTATTTATTTTTCAATGGTATCCATGTTTTGCATTTATATCAGCCATTTATTATTATCTCAATGAAAGACTGAAGTCATTTAATGAATATTTTTATGAACAATTATTATGTCCACAGCATTGGTTTGCTCTATGGCGAATAAACTCGACACTCGTACAGTATCATTGGCACAAAACAAAATGTGATCAATTCAGAATGGAAGATAAAGGAACATTCTTGCTGGAAGGAAGAAAATTAGGTATGTGAAAAAAAAACTTCGTTTTTTCTTCGCTTTCTGACTACTAAAGAAAATAGACAACGCAGAAAAAATTCATGACACAGAATAAAAATTATTCTTACATATATGTTTTTCTAAAAGTGTAAGAGAGGGTTATACATGAAATGGCCTATGTACTAGCAAGACGATTATAATTCAGCAGTATTTTACTTCTCTATGACCCAAACAAGATCATTTTTTAGCGTGAAATTTTAATTCTATATGATGTACAACATTTTATCTATGAATCTATACTCTTACTAGTAACAGAAGAAACTTGACTGATTGAAGAATGAATGGAGAAAAAGTTTTCATTATTAATGTACCGCAAATACAAAATTCGAGGAAATTGTTTTTCGAGCATGTTATACACGGTTGGATAGCCTGAAAGATGGGGATCAAGAATATGTATTTTCCGATCTTTTAAAATTCTTTCTTCATGCCGAAAATCGAGAAAAACTTGAAAGGTCTCAAAAGTCAAAAAATCCGTTATGTTTGGAAAGTTGAATTTTTCGACTTACGTTTTAAATTCAAACATTCAAACTATTTTTTTCTGATTCAGTTTTGAAAAGTGAATAAGAAAATACTCTTTACTTCATTTCGGAGGTTAGTGTTCTACTACAATTAACGTCTGAATCTACTGATAAGAAATAAGGATGACTGCTTTTGCAAAGCTATGTAGTTTTTTTGTGTGAAGAGTTGAAATCAAGTGTCACAGCTCATTCGATTCGTCTGAACCTCAGGTTTAAATTAATGTCTCGCTTTTCTTAAACTTTTTTTTTCTTGCCGAGAAAATTCATTTTGTGTAAATCAGAGGCCTAAAAGTTTAAATCAAGTTCAAATTTATTTTGCATAAGCAAGGACATCACAAAAGAAAGTAAACGTTTAGTAACTTATAACATCTGATAAACAGAAGCCTTAGTGATATCTGTATAACTAAAAACAAACAAAATAAGAGAGCATTCTCCAATGAACAAAGAGAAGATAAAATAAATACAAATTGAGTTGTTTAAGTCAAACCTAATTCCCGTCGAAGCATCTCCTTAAAAACTTTGTGACTATTCTGAAGTGCCAAGAATGAAGGGAGATTGTTCCATTCTATAGATGTTTTTGGTATAAAAGAAATACGAGTGGTTTTAAGCTTAAAGTTTGGAATTACTACCCGTCTGTTATGTCCTCGGCGTAAAGTCTGACAAGTGGTAAGAGGTGAGATAAGCTTGTGAGAAGAAATAGGACTTCTACCGTGATAGATTTTATGAAAGTAAGTGAGTCTGTAATATTGACGACGCACTGATAAAGACAATAGTTTCAGTTTTTTGAGAAGAAAGTCTAGAGAGCTTAAATAGTCTTGGAGAATAATACGAGAAGCTAAACGTTCAACCTTGTCTAACACTTTCAGATGAGAAATGAAATCAGAATCAAATAATACACAAGAATATTCAAGCATCGGACGCACACACGTTTTATACAAATGAAGATGCAGAGAATACGGACAATCGCGAAAAACTCGAGAAATAGAACCTAACATTTTTCGGTAAGTTGTAGCGACGGAATCCAGATGTGTTTTCCGTGTTAAGTTGTAGGAAAGAAAGACGCCTAATAATTTTAATGAAAAGATGCGTTGAATCGATATATTTCTGATTGATAAAGAAACAGAAGACAGAGTATTTTTAGTGGAAGAAAACAAAACCCATTGGCATTTGTCAATGTTAAGATTAACGTGATTATCTTCACACCATTGAAGTACTCCATTTACATACTTTTGTGTTGAAAAAACTGATGTTAAACAAAAAACATCAGCAGCAAACAGGGATGTTAGAACTGCAGCTTTTATAGTAGAAGGAAGGTTATTAATGGAAATAAGAAATAGTATAGGTCCAAGAATACTTCTTTGCGGGGACTCCAGATGTTATGTGAACTGTAGATGAGCGTGAAGTTCCTACAGTGACGATCTGAAAGATATGATTTAAACTATTTGAACAAAACGCCGGAGATATCAGCTAAAGAAAGTTTCTGTAGAAGTACAGAATGCGGAATTTTTGTCAAATGCTTTCTCAAAATCAAAAGAAATTCCTATAAGTTTATGTTTAGATTCCAAAGAATGATATATTTGGTTAGTAATAAAGAGAAGAGCGTCCACGGTTGAAGTTTTTGGACGAAAACCAAACTGAGAACTAGAAAAGAAGTTTGTAACTGTTAAGAAGGACAGCAAAGATTTGTAAACAATTTTTTCAAAGATTTTACTAGCATTATACAAGAGAGTAATTGGTCGATAATTCTTCACCAAAAATTTGTTTTCTTTTTTAAAGATAGCACGAATAAGTGCTGTTTTCCACATAGACGGAAAAATACCAGATTTAAGCGAAATAGAAAAAATGTGATGGAGCTGTGGTGAAAGGATGTCCGCACACAATTTCAAAAATTTCACTGGAGTAGGAAAAGTAGGAATTCTGCCCGTAATTCTCAATTTTCTCCATCAGAACTCAACTTACATGCATTAAAATATCATACTTGGAATCAAGATCAAAAACTGAGTCGACTGACGTGTATTTCGAAGTTCTTAGTTTAGCTTAGTTAGTTTTTCGTGAAAATCTGGATGATTTTTCAATGTGACTATTCGAAAAAACTTGAAGTCATCAGATAGGATACATACAGATAGGATCCCCATCTTTCAAGCTATCCAACCGTGTATAACACGTTCGGAAAAAAAATTTACTCGAATTTTGCATTTGTGGCAAATTATAATTCTGACTAATGCCGGCGTTTTGAAGATAAAACTCTAAAAATTTGAAAAACGATTTGAGAATTTTGACGCTAAATTCTATCATATTAGGAAGGAACAAATATCTTGTGGCTATAGATCATGCATGCTTCTTCATAATAAAATATGCTGAAGTAGTATCCATTATTCATGGAGTATGAACACTCCATCAGTATCCTCAACGAATGATCAGACCTGCTAGTGTTCGATGAAGGTAGAGTTCTTGACGACATGGTAATGATACATGACATGGTAAATTTTATATTCGCACTATGCTAGCGAACCTTTTGTATCAGAAACAAAGTTTAGATATGCAATACTTCATCTTTGCCTTTTCAAAGTCAGTTTCTAGTCTAGTAGATCAATAAAACCCACTCTTAATTGAATTCGTTGTTTTAACAGGCCAGCATTTTCCGATGAGAATCAGTTTCAATTTTGAGAAGTGATACAGTGTTAATTTCTTGGTGAAATGTGTGTGAACTATAAATTTTGAAACGGGTTAGGTACGGGTGAATACAAAAACTGTTGATTCGAGTCGGATCGGGCTTGATCAGAATGAAAAGTTATCAGATTGGCTTCGGATCCTATTACTAAAAAACAAAAAGAGATTTCTGTCAAATATATTTACCTCATTTATTCTAGAATATGTATTTAAATCTAATAATGATGTTCTGGAAGATTTTCCTTCTTTCTGGCGAGCATTGCCCAATGTTCATGTTAGACGTTTGAGAAGTAGATACTCTGATTATACTTCGACTAAATGAACCTTCAGTTTCATCGTTCGGGTCACAACTCGCAGTATTCTTGAGCAATTCAGGTCAAATCGGGTTAAATCAAAACGTTTTTGGGCCGGGTTTGGGTTAAACATTTGTGGCCCGAATCAGTCTCTGGTGGGGACCGCAGACGAGTAAATTCGAGCAGAAAAACAGGTTTCTCGTGTACACCAAATCTAGTGGCAATGTTTGATTTTAGAAAAGGGCTCAGAAAGATCGCGAAAACTGGTTTTTACAGAAACTAAGTCGTAATTCACTGAAAAAAAAACACATCAGAACGAGTTGGAATTTCAGGATTTATGCACAGTTCTGAGTCAGATTGATACATTTTGTTTTTGGTCCTCTGTTTAGATATTCCAGTTTCACCTTTTTTAAACTATCCATCGATCATGATCAAACACAAGGCAATTGAAGGTGGTATGGGTATTCATCTTTATCGAAATTTTTCTAATCAGATGTCAAGAGGTGATTGGATAATCCAAGAAGTTTTTGAAAATTGTGATTTTATTCAACGCCTTCTACCTGATACAGCACCACTCTCAACTGTTCGTATAATAACTTCTTCGTCAGCCGACAAAACTGTTCCTATCAAACCATTAACAGTCGTATTTCGAGCTGGACGTTCAAATGAATTTACAGATCATAACGCTATTTTCTTCAACATTGATATGACGAGCGGAATACTGTCATCAGGAACAACGACCCAACATTGGAATAAATTGGGCATACATTACTTCTGTCAACCAGATACATCCATGTGGAAAGAATACATGATTCATCCAGATAGTGGTGTTCGAATAGAAGGTGTTAAGTGGACAAATGTCGTTGAATCGATTCAGATTGCGTGTAATGCACATGAAAAGATGTGTAGAGATGTCCCACTCATTGGATGGGATGTAGCACATACATCAAAAGGAATTATTTTATTAGAATTAAATATTTCGTGCAACTTTTTTAATGGAAAATTTGATAAAAAATATTATACGGATTTTTGTTATCAATGGTTTCATGTATTGGATAAAATATAATTATGGCAATAGATCTGTTCTGTTGTTAGGTTATTTCTGTAATAAATATAAACAAGTTTGTAAACGAAAGTGTGTTTATTGACACCGTGATAGAAAAGTTAGCTTTCAGAAATAAGTGACGCTGCTTCAGATTAAGAAGATCGTGCTGACGAAGAAAAGTTATGCTACACCTTGGATCTTGACACAAAGATTTCTAAAAAACCCGTATTTCTAGAAAACTTAGCAACCTTAAAATTTCTTTCAAAAGTTGAAAAAAAAGAAAATTCAGCATTAAATACTATATATTAATTAATACTATATATTAAATACTTCAGTAGAGGAAAGAACAATCCCTCTCCTCATATTCTTTCCAGTCGACCTGTAGTTTTCTGACTAGACCCGCTCAACAAGTTTCTCAAATATGGATTTCTTTTGGATCTTTTCTAACAGCTTCTAAAAATGAAAAGCGTGACGTTTCCGTATCTCTACGTTCAACAAAGCAGGTTCATAAAAATTTGAATAACGTTTGACAGGAAACTGACAGAGGCGGAGTGTGTGTCGGACAATTAAAACCCACGGCTTGGCTGTATCTTTTCGTCGAGAATGTCACTATGAAAATCGTTTTCCAAAATATCTTTACAAAACCAGGTTCTAACTCAAAACTTTGAAATACAAATATTTTGATTTTTCTTTACAGATAGACAGGCTACAGTGTGCTTTCAAAACAGGAGTCAAGCGAGCCTTTCTTTTTCAGCGATTCAGGCATAGTACTAAATTTCCCTGGAGCTCCAAGAATGTACTTGGGATAACCTTGAAATTGCATGGAATATACCTGATTGATTACGGTGAATCTAGTGACATTGTTTATTTTGGGACAAGAATGCAAAAGCCTGGTGAAAACTGATTTTTGGAGAAGCTGCCGTTCCTAGGCTGTCTTCAACTAAAAGATTTACAATTTCACCCAAAAAATATCAGAGCAAGTTCTGAACTGCTAGATACGGTTAAAGGATAGGAACGAATAAAGTTACAAATCGGCGCACTCTCTTTTTCGAGTAAAAATGGTTTCCTATCAAGGAAACGTACCAGTATTCAATCCCAGATGAAATCAGATACATTCGTTCACTAAAATCCCGTTAATTTCTCGACAATACCATCCTCATCGACAATCTCAAAACCAGCCCTGCATAGTGGGTAAACGCTGCTTTTTTCAACTTTCTAACACAAAAAGACCAACGAAACGCACGAATAGATAGCTCTTGAAATTCTCTGCAAACTGAGCTAGTGAGAATATCTTGGCTGGTTAGGCCAGTCATCACAGACATACAAAAGCAGCGTTCGAGTACGGAAAACACCAGTAGAGCACTCCTTTAATTATATTTCCTGCTAAAACGAAACATTATGCATTTTTCAATAATACACAAATTGTATACTTCTGCTCTTCTATTTCTATTCCCAATTTCGTGTTTATACGTGTTTATTGACACCATCAGGTTTAGTAGTCAGGGGGAAAAGTATTTTCTATAGCTAGTATAATCCTGTTTGAATAAATAATGATATACATATAAAGTATATACATATATATATATGTAGTTAGAAGCTACAAGAATGTCGGTTTTTTGAATTTCGACTCATTTCGACTCATTCATCAAAAAAATGTTTGTGACTGAGTTAGAATGTAGTTTTCGGAACCTTGACCTTCGTGTAACTCTGGAAAGCAAATTATTCACAGTCGAGTTTTATTACTCTGTAACCACAAATGTATAGACAAGCTACAAGCTCTTCAGCGTTTCAAATAAGGTACAATTCCCACAGCTACCATCAAGTCAAGTTTGTCTTCTATTTATAGTTTCTTTCAACTGGAAGTAATTACCACTCTCTCTCTCCTAACATGTATTAATTTTACTTTGTGATAAGAGCCTCTCAGCTGTTTATCTAAAGTAAGCATGCATGTGTATCGATTACAAAAAGTGTCACGTTTCTGTACTACGAAAGAAAAAACCATGTGTATTTGTAGTGCTGTGGCCAACTTTTCTTCGTTCTGTTCCTTTACACATATGTTCTGTTATTTTTATGACGTAAAACGTTTTTATTGCTAAAAGATTACCTTATAAATTATTAGTTTGGCTTTCTTCAACATATACGTTAATATAGATTATCACCGCCTCCTTTCCACGCTTAAAGGCGCTTTTATGAAGTCTTGTTAGCGGAGCAAAAAAAACGGTGATTGTTGGATTCGAAAAGCAAAAAACATGCTGTTGAAACCAGTTTCTTGTCCAAAATCTTGCTTTCAGAGTATATTTATAGTATACGGTTAAAGTCCGTACTGCAACGTTATATTAGTTCATGAAAATTCTCAAAAACAGTCTGATGCTTCATAATTTCCGGACTTTTATCCTTCCCTTCCCCTGCGCCATCAGCAGTAACAAAACGCAACAAGAGCATAGTGTGGAGTGGTTCAATTGTCTCCCACGGGATTCGCCTTGTGCAGTTCTTGTCTCGTCATAGCCCCGTTCCTCGTCAAGTTTTCAAAAATTCCTCCACGCGGGGCCTCGCGAGGATCCTCGTCCATCGCCCACCTATGAGAGGGACATATACCTTAAAAGGTATTTTTTAGAGTTGATTATTTATTCGTCTTTCTGACGGCCCGCTGAACATTATATTAGTAGCTGAAGTAACCTGTTTGCACATGTCTATATTCTTTTTTGCTGATCAGTTATTTCTTTTTCTTTTCTAATAGTGAGTGTGACGCAAAAACTATGAGCAGCTTAATCCTTTTAGCATTAGTACTTCTTAGGTGTTCCAAAAACATGTCTCTGTCCACATGCCGAATGTGATTAGAAATTTTGTAAATCTTGTAGTAAACAATCATTTTTGTATTTACAATTTTATAATACAAAAATATTTTTAACTTTCTGTTTTTTCAGTCTTCGGATATAAAGCAAAGCTGTTCATAAAATGCCTACTTAAAGAAATATATCTACTTATACAAAATCAATGTAGAAAGGTTGAGACAAACACTTCTAAATATTATTAGGCTTATATCAAACCAGAGTCAAAATAGTAGAAATAATAGAAAAACAAGAATCTTTTTTCTTTTGGCTCCATGACAAAATCTTATTTTTCTATAGCCGTCGAGATAGTGAAATACCTTGTTAACATCATGTGTACAGGAATTAATTGAATTTTATGCTTAACGTTCAAGTAAAAATAATACACTTGTTGAAATCCTGTATTAAACGCATATCGAACAATCATGACTTTTCATAATTGAAAAAAGGCGTTAAACTGTAACGATAAAGCTGTTTTCGATTCTATTTGTACGAAATATAGCTGAGTATATGACGATGTTTTTGTGCAAGTTTAGTCAGCTAAGATAGAAAATCATTTTGTGACGAAATAATAGATGATATTTATTAAAATTTTACATAGTCTAAAACTAGGCATTTCGCTCTATCCGTTCGTAAAAAAAATTCTGTTCTGGCTTTTCCATGACCGATAAAATTAGGTTTCTTTTTTTGCTAAGTGTTTTCCGAAAATGTGTGCTCAGTATAATCGCTGTTCGATTTTTTCCGAAGCTTCGAATTCAACGAATTTTATACCGAAGGTAGATCTACCAACGATACATATATACTGATAGCGCAAATGCTCCTGTATCGGGTTATAGGTTTTCGAAAAACCCTCGGTTTTTCAGATAATTTAGGTTTTTCTCAGTTTTGTAGCACTTAAATTAAAAAATGAGGTGATATTCGGAATCAGCCTGAAAAACTGCGTCGAATGCTGTATAATTCAGCCATGTTTGTACCGAAAGTTTTGAATTTAGTTGATTTCTTTGTTTCTTGCATGTGCGTATAGGGATTTTTGATTGAAATTTTAAAATTTGAAATTATCAACAGATGAAATCGTCTAAACACTATTGGAATAGGCTTTCGATGATTCTCTTTAATTAGCAGCGTTAACTGTGCCAAGTTAATCAGAGGATTAGGATTTCTCTTAGTCAAATTTTTGTACAAACCTTAATTTGATAACTAAGAGATCATTTCAAAACGAATATGAAGGTAAGTAATTTAAATTTTACTGGAATATCCAGAAAAAAATTCCATTTTTTGAAATTCGTTAACGGTATTTATTTTGACTATAACTTTTGATCCGCTTGATCAGTCAAGCTCAAATTATTTTTGGCTGTAGAATCCGCTAAAAACTATAACTGACATAAATTTCATCGATAAATGTTGTTGCCTAGCCGAGATAAGAGGCGCAGATGACGAAAAAAATGAAGTTTTGTAACATCTGGATACCTAATTCAATAAACTAGTAAGCATATATAGTTAGAAAAGCCATCCCATGAAATAATCTTGATACTGTAACGCAGGTTAGTAGGCGCTAAAAAATAAATTTTCGAGAAAATTGCGTTTGAACGGGTTAAATTTTCAAATATAACGCGTGCTAACGTTTCTTCGGAGTGGTAACTAGCCGGTTAAATATGGTTCTAAGAAGTATAACGAGTTTCGGCGCATTCAAGTTTTGTACAACGTTTTGATATATGGTGAAAACGCTTTTAAAAATAAAGAATACTCGTACATTCCTGAATAAAAATTTTTAAACTTGTTACAATAGGTTTTTACTCGTTAAACGAACGATGACTCACCAAATGTGTGAGCGTTCAAGTATGTTAAAAAGGTAATTTTCTAGGTAATTTTCTAGTCACCGTTTTATTTTGCATGACCAACTCATATATAAATACAATGGCTTTCCCTACGAGATATATAATTCACTTAGAAGGTTTTCTAATTTTTTTCTCTTACTATATATATATGTGTAAGACACTGGTCTACCATAATGGTGCTAATGAACAGGATCTAGTAGACCATAACTAGGTGGATCTTGGGATCCATCAACAGAACAAAAACACGACTAAAAAGGATAAACGCACTGTAACGCGTTAAAATTACATTTTATAGATATTATTTCTAACGAATGTAAAACGCATCTAAGAAGCTAACTTGTTCAATTTTTAACGAGTTTGAACGATTTAAAATTAAGCGGAGGCGTTATCACGTACTACAGATTATTATTCGTTAGAATCGCCGAACATGAAATATTTAACATGGTTCTAACGCGTTAAGCCGCTTACATAACGCGTCAGCGTTATAACATTTTCGTGATTAAGTTTGAACGTCGTTTTCATATTTTTTTTATAAAAGCGCGTTTAAGTGCATTAGAATTAATTTCCAGTCCCATATATGTTTGAAAATAACGCATTTATAAACATTCAATAGTATTTAGCTAGTGTGCACGCATTAAATTTTTCTTTTATTTAGCGCCTACTAACGCGCGTTAGAGTATCAAAATTATTTTATGGGATTCTATTCTCACTATATTTGAGTGCAATGAAAAGAAACCGTCAAGGCCTTATATATATATATTTGTTCTTTTAGTTTACGTCTATATATAGATGATACTATAAGTTTATATAATCGCTTCTTTCTACCTTTTACCAATGATTAGTTATCCCCACGCAACTTGGGATCAAGAAACAAAAGCTAACCATAATATATGTAACTGTATATTGTTTGATAGTAACGGTATTATATGTAAATAAGTTTGCAATAATTGACTTCAAATACTATCCTTCGATTCAAATAGAAAAAAATGGTGATGGTCAATCTATCTAGCATAACACCATCTACAAGCAGCAGATATGATACGGGTGATAATGCTTGGATGATGACGTCAACAGCATTGGTGTTTATGATGACACCAGCACTAGCCTTTTTCTACGGCGGTATGGTTGACAAAAAAAATATATTGAATCAATTATTTCTATCAATAATATGCATGGGAGTCGTCATTTCTCAATGGGTCTTATTTGGATTTTCATTCGCCTTTGGACCAGCTGTTAGCAAAGGATTTGGTTCGTTCGGTTGGGCAGCTTTAAGATTAGGTGAACTTTACAATCCAAATTATTCTCCGACCTATCCACTTTTAACATTTTGTGCGTTTCAATGTAAGTATGTTGAAAATAGAATTTTAGGATCAGGAAAATAAGCTATTACTGCACATCGAATCGCTTTTCATTTCCGTGCGGTATTGGATTGTTGCTATCTCGTAGTGTGCTTTTATTCAGGACGAATGAAGATCACTCATCCATGAAACAAAGGACCGAATAACTTATGAATAATTCTAATCTATTGACTTCATTTTAAATCAGGCCACATGAGCTAAAAAATATATGGTACTTTTTACAGTTGTATTTTGAAAAGTCGTCTAGACTTTCGTTGTCTTGTTCTAAAAGGAAGACTCATTAGTTGATGGTACACATAGAAAAAGGGGCCGGGTGGATGAGCGCAAAGCATTGCTCAATCAAAAATGTAACTTACAATAAACACGAAAAGACTTAAACCAAGTGTAAAAGTTAATAAAGTTTGAACAAAATGAAATCTAGTCTGAAAACAAACAAAATAAATCTCTCACGAGGGACCCGACTCAACTGTTAAATAGTTCGTTCGGTGAGACCTAGTGGATTATAGGTTATCAACTATGCTGATTTCGAATAGGACCATGGCAGTTGCCTATAGGTCTCCAGTGATCCGATTTTGGAAAACCAGTTTTTCAGCAACTCTCAAAAAATAGCCAAAACCTTTCTTAATAATGCATGATTGTAGCCCGCACATTTCTGATTGAAATGAGACATCTCCGAGCTTTGTACGACCTTTCTCTGCAAAGTTATAGAATTTACAAGAAAGTCCTAAATATTCATTGCCAGGTCAAAGCTACAGAAATAAGAAGAAATTAATTTAGGGCTTTTCTTATAAATTCTATAACTTTGCAAAGAAAGATCGTACAAAGCTCGGAGATGTCTCATTTCAATCAGAAATGTGCGGGCTACAATCATGCATTATTAAGAAAGGTTTTGGCTATTTTTTGAGAGTTGCTGAAAAACTGGTTTTCTAAAATCGGATCACTGGAGACCTATAGGCAACTGCCATGGTCATATTCGAAATCAGCATAGTCGATAACCTATAATCCACTAGGTGTCATCGAAAAAACGATTTGACAGTTAAATGTGACGATTTTCTGGTGATACTACAATATGCACTAAAGACTCATCTAAAACGTTTCACAGCACTTTCGTCACATGACGTGTTTTCAGTGACAAAAATTCACCGTGCATGTGACGAAAGTCTGGTTTTTTTAGACAGGTCGGTACTTTCGTTACACGTTGCATGAAACGGCTGCGGTGAAATCAAGGTTTAGTGCAAAGTTCATTAGTCCAAAGTGTTGTAGTACAAACTGGAGTAGTCCAAACTGCAGTAATACAAGCTGTAGTAGTGCAAATTGGAGTAATAACTGCTTGCTTTTTCCTTTATAAACATCGCATTTCCTTAGCGAAACGCGTAAAACTCTTTTGAAATCTCTTTCTAAAGTCAGAGTATCAAAATCAAGCGTCTATTGCGTTTGGGACTAGTTCGGTCTGAGGTGGTTCACATTGAAGCAGTTCAAATTCGAGTAGTCCAAATGCAAGCAGTTCTAGTCCAAACTGGAGTAGTCCAGTAGTTCCTTTTGGGTTGTGACGAAAGTTGTAGGTATGTTACAAAGTTGGTTACGAAACTTCACCACTCTTGTGATCAAAATGTGGGATGGTACTCCTCCAGAAACCATATACTTTCGTCACGTATGGCGAAAGTTCTTTTTTCTATGTGATGAAAATTAACGTGACGAAAGTACTATCACCCTCTGAAACATCTTGCTTTCATCAGTATTTAAACTCCTTTAATTATTTCTGCTTAAAAACGCTCATTAAAAATTTTAATTTATACTGCTATAACGAAGTTGATGTGGCGTGTTACGATCTCTCTACTTGTATTTAAAGTCTAAATATGATGGAAATTTAAATTAAAAATATTAGTTTCTTAAAATGTTCTATGTTCAACTCATACAGTTTAATTCTTTTAATAAAAGCAAATTAAATATTTTTCGAAGATTGTTTGTTAAAACAAAAGTTGAAACTTTGCTATAATGCACTCTTTCTTATTCTTTTATTCCACTGTACGGAATCTACCTGATGCTTCTACAACCGATAGCTTTTCTCATAATCTGTCGAATGGGCTGTTTTAGGTGCATTTGCCGTGGTCCCTCCGGCGCTCATTAGTGGTAAGCTATAATCAATTCGACTTTCCTAGTATCTAATATACCATTTTACAGGCAGTATTGTTGGCAGAATAAAATTGATCCCATATATGCTTTTTATATTTATTTGGACAACGGTCTGTTATGATCCGTTGGCCCATTGGATTTGGTGGAGTTATTCAACATTATTGTGTGCTAGAAAGTGGAAGCTAATGCGAAAGATGACAGTCTAACGTGAAGATACATAATCAGCGAATACTTTCAGTCCGATAACGGTTGGTTAAAAGCACTCGGAACTATAGATTTTGCCGGTGGTACAGTGATTCATATTTCGAGTGGTGCAAGTGGATTTGTTGCTTCGGCAGTATTGGGTCGTCGTATAGATCGGGCTACCAAAGATATCGGTAATAATTTGCCGTTTAGTATATTGGGTGCAAGTTTATTGTGGGTTGGATGGAATGGTTTTAATGCTGGATCAGCTAACGCTGCAAGGTAAACAAGGGTATGATTTAAGTCAAGTTCAACAGGGTTAATTTCTTTTGTTCATTAGAATGACTAAGGTTATTTTCTGACGAAAGTAACAAAGAGCCTACTCTTGTTGAAAAAAGCAGATTTGAAAAGAGTACATGTAACATGATGTTATGCTCTTCTAGTGGTGTCGCTGCTTTAGCGCTGATAAATACCAACGCAGCTGCGGCAGCTGCCTTGGTAACATGGGTGATATTAGATGCAGTTCGAGGCTCAGTTACAATTACTGGCACTTGTATTGCCCCCGTAGTAGGTCTCGTCGCTATTACACCCGCTTGTGGTTATGTACAGCCGGGATGGGCTCTTTTGATAGGAATAATAAGTGCTGTATGCGTTTATGTGGCAATGCTGTTCAAGAAATATTTAAGGGTCGATGATGCTCTGGATGTTGCCATTTGTCATGGATTAGGAGGAACGGTAGGTGCATTTTGCACGGGTTTATTCACACAACTGGATGTAAATCCAAGTGGAGGAGCCAACGGTGCGTTTTATGGACGACCTGTTCAGTTGTGGTACCAAATAGCTGGAATATTAACAGCCGTAGGTAAGAGAAAAAAGATCACAAAATCAAGTAATGTTTACCGTTTTTCTACTGATATTCAGCTTTTTCTGCTGTGTGTACAGCATTAATATTAATACCAATGAACGTACTGTGGAATCTATTTGGTTCATATATTCGAGTATCGATTGAAGATGAAATAACCGGATTAGATGCTGCAGGTAACTAAACTGATTTTCACCTTTTAGAGAAAAAAGATGTCTTTCTTTTTTATTAGCCCATGGTGAAAGTTGGTTGACAGCCGTTGACAGTTCGGGAGAAAAGGAAGGTGGTGAAGTTGCAAGCGTGTTAGCACGAATATTTTTACCTAGGAGAGAAAGCCTGTTAGAAGAGAAAACGAGCACTCTCACTCAACTAGTGACAGAAGAAAGAAAACCTGGCATATCAAAATTTGATAGTTTTTTCTAGAGTAGAATACCCCGGGATCTTTACATATTCGGAATCAGCGCAACGAGTTACGTTGTACGGCGCAAAAGGTCTTGTTGGGAATCCTTCGATTTTTTGGATCCGATGGCTCCGTTGGAGGTTTTCACGGTATATTATATTATATTCAACGGTAGACAACAGACACACTGCGTTCGCTTTTCTTTCCGTTGATCTTATTGTTCTTCTGTCTCATAATTTTTTCGTATGTGATCGTATATATGTGCATAGAGTTTTATTTCTCCTTATTATAAAAGAACAAATTTTCTATTTTAATCTAGATTTTCATTTATTCGATGTCTAAAAGAACCAGTGATCATCCGATATTCTGACGACTTTGCGAATTAAAATTAGATTAACTAGAGAAGGTCCATTTTTACTTATTATATTAGTTTGAAGTACGCAATTTATACTATATTCTGAGGCATTTTCAGAAAAGGATCGTCATGATTTTCCGGCTTTCTCTTCGGGTAATGATAGTCAGAGGTAGTTTACGTTTAAATTTTACTCATTACGTGGAATGGAAAGCTAAAGTCACAGTTTAGAGTGGGTAAAATGTATTGTTTCAAGTTCAGTTTTAGTACTTTGATCAGGGAAAAACAAACTTTGGGCGTAAGCTCCTTCGGAATACCATTGATCGATGGATAATTACAAAAATTTTGATGTCATTTAAAGTTGATAAAATTTTCTAATGAAACTGGAAACCGGAAATGTTGCCAATTTTAAGCCAATATTGACAGACTAATATGTCAGAAACTAAGACTAACGTTTTATAAGTAAACTTTGACGAATCCTGCTATTTGTTTTCGATATATTGAACAATTTCTTAATGGACAGACACATAGCACACATGTAGCGAGACGATCGCACGGTATACATGCGATACTTTTACCATTTGTTTGGCATACAGCACATAATGGCGATGGAGTAGAAACTTGAATTAAAGTAACCAATTAGTTTCACCACCCATGTATGCGATAACAGTTGCTACTAATTGAATTCTCGTATTTTAATTGACAGTTGATTAAAAACTTCAGTTGTAAGCTCATGTGTCAGTTTGGTGACTGACTATTTGACTAAAAATGGTTTAATTATATGTTATATCAATACAATTTAAGCTCACGGTTGAAAAACATGACGTGATTGCTTTTCAGCCAGTTTTCTAACACCGCTTTTAGAAAAAACGATTTTAGGCAAAAAGATACTCGATCAAAACTGTACCATATAGACCTATGTGCGTGCACATATCTGGAAGATTTTACTGAAAATTTGTACAAATATATTGACTCCTGTTGTGTTTTTATTTTATAAGCATTAGCGCTTAACTCTTAGAGTTCTTGTACTTTAAACTTGAGACGCTTTTTAAGTAAAACATCGATGATATTTGCAGTCTTATATTTCAGTTATAAGAAGATCTGCTGGAATAAGAAAGAATGTATTAGAAAGAGGGTGTTTCCCTGGAGTCCGTACCACGATATACACAACTTTGTTCGCATAAACTGGAACCATTTTTAAATGAATGACCCATGAGAAGGGTTAGCTTAAATCGAGTTAAAAGATTTGGAAATATCGGTATCATGAACATCAGATCGCGACATTTGCGTTTTTTGGCGTTTTAGGGACCCAGCAACAGTAAACTTTTGCCTATATAAACCAGTAGTGAACCTCGAATTCCTGAGGTTGCTTTCATATATTTGTCATACCTATTCGACATGGGCTTTCAGGTCGCACAAGATACGATTTGCCCCAACTCAATGCCTTCTAAGTATAAACCCATAAAATTTGATTTTTCCAGTTTGATGACTTTTCAGCTTTCTCAAAAAGATATGATACTACTTTAGCATTACAATGCCAAGGTAAATTTGCATACTGAGTTCGATGCGAATGTTGAAAGTACTCAATATATATCATTTTTAGAAAGCTGAAAAAGTCATCAAACTGGAAAAATCAGATTTGATGGGTTTATACTTAGAAGGTATTGAGTTGGGGCAAATCGTATCTTGTGCGACCTGAAAGCCCATGTCTAATAGGTATGACAAATATATGAAAGCGACCTCAGGAATTAGTGATTATAAAAAAAACGAAGGTAAAAGGCAAAAACTCAAAAATCTCACCGGTATCTCGAATTTTCGATTTCAGTTTAAAAGCTATGAAAGTTTGCGTTTCACCATTCGATAGATAATGCAAAGGCCAGCCGAATGCGCTATTGAAAGTGATTTTTCATTTTGATTTGCTGAAAATCGATCTGTCGTAAAAGTGGCTCAAATCGAGTTTTTGAAAATTCTACTCAGAATCTCTAAAACATTTTGAAATTTTTTTAGCGATAACACGAGAAAGTCCTAACTTTTTACTATATATTCCATAAAAAATTCAAGGTTCACTACTGATTTATATAGGCAAAAGTTTACTGTTACTGGGTCCCTAAAACACCAAAAAACGCAAATGTCGAGATCTGATGTTCATGATGCCGATATTTCCAAACCTTTTAACTCGATTTAAGCCAACCCTTCTCATGGGTCATTCATTTAAAAATGGTTCCAGTTTATGCGAACAAAGTTGTGCACTCAACTCATGTTGAGATTATATACGTAGAACATCACCGAAATAATACGGTGATAACATTCTAACGTATCTAGCGAAAGACAAACATATTGTCACAATTCTCTATGAATCACGCGAGTTTATTGCGGTTGAAGGAAGAAAAATCGTAGTAAGATCGCGTAGTAAGAGCCAGTCCAAGTTTCCAAGGCTTGGGCTTTTCTGTAACGGATAGGTGGCTGTAAAACATATATATTAGTATCAAACTAGTCGAGTTTAAAAACTCAAAATAGTTGTTCACTTTGTCAAGATTTTTTTACCGAAAAAATTGAGCAAAACGCTACGGACGGCAACGTTAAGATTACCTGGTCACAATGGATGAACGAAAATGGTTGTCCAGAAAAAAAGTGTTTTGAGACAATGTTGATGAAGCAGTTTTGTTATTGAAGTCAAAAGTGGAATATTTTCTGTTTCATGTGTACATTAAACGAGAACAGGGAAAGTATTTTTAGAAGTTATAGACTGAAGTTGGTGATGAAAAGATAGTATTGGAAGTTGGTTTTTGCAGAGAATTTCAATATGAAAGAACAAGACGAGATCCAGGCGGCTCATTGGAACACGAATTGTTCCAACGGTTTCGTGTGCATTTTCTTCTATATACTTATTTATTTTCTGCTGCACTTACTATTGAATTTGACGTTCTGTTTATACCGAGACTGAGCATTTGTCGTGTTCCTTATGTGACTCTGGAAATTTTTTTCGACGTAGATATTCTGTTTTATTCTTCTATATAGCGGAAACAAAATGAGAATATCTCAGAGAGGATCATGCCCAACATTTCCGATATCTAAGCAATGTTGAAAAAATCGTTATCGAAACGATAACTGCTTTTCGGTTCAATCGAAAAGCAGTCTGAACGTTGTCTAGTTTCGCATATAAATAATCATTCTCACTCTATATGAACGATATAGCGATAAATCAACATACACCAAAGATGATTTAAGCATGAATAAAAAGATCACATAGAAAAATGCCGATACGCGTTGCAACTGTTTTTTATAAATTGTTTGACAGATGTCTTTTCGTTTTAGGACAATCCAAGCACATTTCTTACACCCATACGCAGACGAGACGCTACTCCTTCTACATTACCCAAACGTATGAAAACTAGTCATATCAATCACAATCTTCCTGATATTTTTGATACCGAGTTACCGACGAGGTATAGAAACAGTGACTACTAGCAGATTAGTTAGATATGTAGTTGTTAAATTTTAGGTATTGTCTTCGCGATCGGTAAAAATTATGCAAAACGTTATATGATGATATGGTACATTATGATTTTTCAGAACATGACGATGAACAACCAGATGAAATGCTTTTATCCGATGAAATACTTTTAGAATTCATGAAATTTAAAGATCAATACAACATTACTGACGGAGGCAATAAGGATTTTGAACATATTAGAAGCAATATATGGGTCTTGTCCTAAGCTGAGTCAATTGAAAAAATTAAGAACACTACTTAACAAAAATATTCCAGTCAAGATATGTGATCACGGTAATTTTAGTTCAAATTGATTTATTCTTTTTCCTTTCTTTGCTGATATAGGAAAGAAAAAGAATGGGATAAAAATCAATCATCAAGGAGTATACCGACAGCAAAGTGATTATAAAATATTATATACTAGCTATGATAGTTTATTTTTTCCTGAGAAATACTGATAGAAAAGAGAAAATACCAAAAGAGCAATCCTGCTTTTAGTATTTGCTCATTCAAATGAAAAACTATAATTTGTTCGTGATCTCATAGTATTTTTCTCTTCTAGGTGCATATTTAAATATAAATGATGCTGTTAAATTACTAATTCATAGTGATCCATCTATAATTAATAACGCATCGAATGAAACTATACAAATCAAGCATAATATGGATGGTACAACAATAGGAACAACTACAAATATTCTAATGTCAACCATCGCTTGCATTGAATCTGGTCCTAACAAACAATCAGCACTGAATGTTATTCCATTAGGACAATTCAAATTTAACAAAGAAAGCCGTTGTGAAATAGACCGTGTTATACCGGACGAATTTATTAACATGATGGAGAAAAAGTTATTATGTTTAAAAAATCTAAAACTCGAACTGGATGTGCACATGTCCATTGATATGAAAATGATGTGGCAAGTGATGCGATTGTATGGTATTACAGGTAATGAACTTACACATTGAAACACATTTCTGCATTATATACAACTTCAGTATACCATTCATTTTATGTTTTAGGACAAAACAAACACAAATGTTCTCATTGCACAGCTTCAAATATGGCCGAATTGGGAAAGTATTCAGCATTTGATCCATCCAAAGGTGCTCGTACATTAGATCAACAATATGAAGAGCTTGTAAAATCTAAACCACGTTTCGGATACCAGCACCAACCTATCTTTCACAGAAAGCTTGAGTAAGTTGTCTGCCTTTTAGATCAATCCAGCTACAATAAAGTCCAGACGTTTCAAGTATCTCTAGTCAGAGTCGACAGCGCCCTTTGGCAAAGCCAAGTATTGAATGAGAGTACGAGAAGACAAATTGATGAAAGGATGAAAATAAATAGTAGTAATATATAATTAGGCATGCACCAATAACAATCATAACTGAAGATATTGTACAATATTACTGGGTATATTGGGTCCTAATATTATTATATTCCCAATATATTGGGGCCAATGATATTGGTCATCCAATATGTCGGGTGATATTGCGCTGCACAATACACTGCATTCCACCTTTTTAATCTTAACATCATTTACATTCATAAAAACGTGAGGAAGCCTATCCAAATCGGGATAGATATCGCGATCAAACTATATATCCCAATTGGGATATAAAAATGTATCCCGATAGGGATTAGGCATGCACCGATTAATAATCGATGTCAGGACATTTAGCAAAGTCGTTCCGAATCAGTTATAAAAAAGCGCTTAGAGCTGCCGATTGTCTCATTCTGTAGAAAAATGTATGCTCTATCGAACGAAGTGCAAAAAAATATTTTAGTATTATATGTGACAGAAATATAAGCATCCAAAACTAAGCAAGATTGCGAAAAAATAATCGACTATATGCAGGCGACCGAATACCCAATAATATTGTGAAAGTCCAATATATTGGATGACCAATATATTGAGTATACAATAATATTAGGACCGAATATATTGTATTGGCGCATGCCTATAGCATATGGTGCGACGTCAGTTTTTGTCCTGTTATCTGTTTTATTTGTGTTTATTTTCTTATTTAGTTACAAGAAAATGAAATTACGAATAGCCGATGTATTACTGGCAGAAATTATATCACTGATAAGTACAACGACTACATTAGCTGAACGTAACCAACATCTTCAGAATGTCTTGACCTTCTTGAGACAACGAGCTAAAGGTACAGAAGTAAGTGTCGGTTTTGTTAATGATGAAAAAGTTAAATAAATTTTTATTTTTAGACAAATCACAAATTTACATTAACAAAAAGAATGAAATTGAAGCTCCCGGTCGGTTAAATGTTAACATGCACGAACGTTTTTTACGTGATATTCCATTATATGCTATTATGAACGATAATCACAAAGCTTTTTTCATTAAAAAATTATGTGGTGACCTTTTTGATATTATGAATTTGTATAATATTAGTTGCATATATCAGCATGTTAAGAAAGAATCGATTAATTGGTGCGAAAGATATAAAAATTTATTTGGAGCCGATGCTGTCACTATATACAGTCATGTGTTAGACAATCATGCGTTCGAATTTCATCAAGAATATGATAACCTCGGTTTATATACCTTACAAGATAATGAAAAATTTAATGACGTCACAACAATAGACTTTTTCATGTCAACTAACAAGAGAAACTTCAATGTTCAGTTACTACAAAAGCGTGTTCGTTTACGACTAGTTGATATAGGATTAAAACCACAAGGTGCTTTAGCATTAAACAAACTGTTTTCGAACTGGATGATTAAAGACACGGTTTCGGCAATCTCCGCTATATAAATTCCACTTCCTTTCTGAAAATAAACAACGTATATATGTGAGACTATAGTAAGCAAATTTTTTTTTTGTTATCGTTTCTCGTCCGCTCGTCTAGTTTTTTGGCACTTATCATTTCTCGTCCCCTTGTCTAGTTTTATTAGTTTCTTGCAACTACTTTTAATTTTCGTGCTTTTTCTGTATATATTTGTCGCAGGAATAAATGAAATGTAGGAGAATTTAAAATATTCCTAGGAATAAATGAAATGTAGGAGAATTTAAAATATTCCTAGGAATAAATGAAATGTAGGAGAATTTAAAATATTCCTAGCAAACAAGTTCTTTCGCATATTTGAATTAGTCCTGCAGGAATAAATAAAATTTCTCTTCTGACTAGACGAGTAATAGTAAATGCATTTATAACGAAATAAAAGAAAAAACATTTAAACATTTGAACAAGCTTTCTTCTTAGGATGACATTTTGTTCCGCATTTGACATTTTTTCCTGTGAGACAGAATTTTAAGTGACAAAAGCGGGAGGACGATGGGTTTTTATATACCTTTTGACCATTCTGTCGTATTTTGGGACTGCATCCATTTTCCCAAAGCTAATTCCAATGTCTGATTGCCTCTTTCCACCAAATCCTGTGTTTGTGGGTGTCTAGCTCGCCCATTAATAATAACGAGATCGGTCCAAGTATTCTTTAAATCCTGGACGAAAAAATAAAATAGGTACACCACTCCGAAGTTTGAGGTTTGGAGAAAAATTCTTACTTTTATCACTTTAGCAACAAATTCTTTACCATTGTCTGACTGTAAAATTCTCGGTGGTCCAAAGCTATAAAACTGTTGGAGAAGTTTTTCAGCCACCGGCGCAGCTTCTTTCGACTTTAAAGGATATGCCCATGAGTATTTCGTAAAATGATCTTTTGTATGTAAAATCCAATTGGTTTACCTTAACATCAGAATACTATGAGCGAGAAGATTCAGAACGTATCAGAACATACTAGCTAATGGTTTGGGAAATACTTGTCGATTACTACACGCATCACACTGGGAGATAAATATTTTCACTGCTTCGAGTGGTATCCACGCATATTGATCATTAACCTAATGACAGAGGAACACCATCGAAAATCAGCGAAGAAGTAGTGAATTTTAGCTTACTTCTTTCCATGTTTTATCTCGACCATGATGTCCAACTCTTTCGTGGCTGTC